CTATACGACGCATTTCACGCTCAATTAACAATGTAATTTCCCAGACAAATGAGACAAACACCGTATCTCTCTAACTACTCATTACAATCGAGAATAAACAATATTCGACATTCTTGCACGGCGCACTTTACGCGTACTTGAGGTGACACGAAAGTGTGATATGTACGTACCAAAAAGATCAAAATATTTAAAAAATTTTTTTCAAACCGGGTGCACCAAATTATCTAAAACCTTAACACGTGATTGTGGAGGCTCTAAGAAAAAACGTGCTGCCCGTGAAATTTCATTTTTCGAAAAAAAAATATATATACATATATCCGTTTTTTGGTTCTTATCCGAGATATGTAGAATATTTTTTTTTTTTTCGAAAAACGAAATTTCACGAGCATCGCGTTTTTCTTTAGGGCCTCCATAATCACGTGTTAAAGTATCAGATAATTCGGGTGCCCCCAGTTTGGAGTAATAAATATTTTCACTTTCTGTTATGTATATACCACACTTTCGTATCACCCTAAAGAGATAATGTTTCTTTCATGAAACTAATAAATACGGCACTCTCCAGGAAGTCTCTGACGACATTTACATCAGTAATTGCACGATTAATCCCAATTTCATAACCACGTTCGGTAATTCGGCGACAACGCTACTCTCTTTCCCAAGACTCGGTCAGAAAATTTCACGCGCGATATCAAAGTCCCCGTGATAAAGGAGTTATCACTCCCCGGGACCGCGAGAGGTTCAATCTCTCTCGCCACTTGTGAAATCATTCGACCACGTCGCGTTATCGCGGCTAGTCTCGTTGAAAACAACGCCGCTCGTCTCCAATCTCTATTTTTTTTTTAATATCTTTTTCGCGCCCGATCATTCAAAGCCGCTCTGCAAAATTATCAAGGAAGCCGTTAAATTCCTGGCACTAGCTTAGATTAAAATTCTAACGCCGATAATTCGACGGAATATCGCCTTCTCGGTAACTAATATGCAAATGTTATTATCAATCCAAGTGATTCACCGCGAAGCTCCTCTTTGTCGTACTTAAGACGCAAATTCATGCAAATTCCCGGAAAACGTGAACTGATAACAAATATGAAATTCATTTCGATACGTATAGAATTAAGATGATATAAATAACATTATGGGATATTTAAATGTTATTATCAATCCAAGTGATTCACTGCAAAACTCCTCTTTGTCGCACTTAAGACTGATACAAATTGATACAAATATCGACTAATTAATAAACATCGTTATTACTCTTAGAGGCATAGAATCAGCTCGAACTCATTTAAACAATTTTTTGATCATCTACTAAACGGAAAGAATACGTTCCAGATTTCCTTTAATATTAATTTCCTCAAAATTTCTATCAGCAATAATTTCCCTTATAGATAAAAAAAAAGGAAGAAGAAGAAAACTCGCAATCGTTGCAAATTAATCGATTGCGAGTTACGTACGTTATACGTAGTTCAAGAATAACCAGAAATGCCCAACTATATCGCGCCTTATCAGCACGTTTCATATCTTTGATAAGAGCTCTTCAACCATAGATTCCATAATCTCGTTTCCGTGATAATCGCATACGAGTCTCGAACTATCGTTCCCCAATATCGAGTAAACTTCGGGCTCTTCCAATTCCGAAACCTGCTCAATAATCAGTAGATAGACCCCAATTGACCAAATATCCCCGATCTCTGTTATCTATCCCCATATCTTCGCCTCTAGGGGACATTGACCCGACATCTCATTCCAGAACTGGGCAGAAATCCCACCAGGGATAAGTATAATCAGATTTCGAAATTTCAAGGTCGGCCCCTTTCCTCTAATAACAATATCTCTTTGCCTCTCTCTCTCTGATTCGATTCAGCAAAATTATTTATATTAATAAGAAAAAAGAAAGAATAATTCCCTAGATTAAAACGCGGCATCTAATGTTTCTACGCAAGATATACACAGTAGTAGAATTCATGTCGAGATTTGAAATTACACGAGAGATGTCACCGCGTTTAATAAAATAATAATAATATAAAACTGTACTTCTACCGTACTTCGGGTATTTCGGACGTAATTATTCTTATTCTTTGTCTGTACTATTTTGATTTCCCTTGAAATGTCAATAATTAACATAAAGAATAATGAATGCTCGCAATCATGAAAATAATAAATAAAAAAATCTAAAAAAAAATTAATTTACCCCACACTTTGAGTTACATACATTTAAATTACAATAACATGAAATTACTTCGCCAGTTAAAAAAAAAATGACAACGCATCCACGATTATGAATACAATTTTCCAATTATAAAATTGCCATCCAAGTAAATCGTTCATGAAACATTTGAACAAGGGAGGTCCTAACAGTGGTGAAATTTCATTTTTTCATAAAATTAGAGAAGGAAGTTATAAAAAATAAAATCAACACTTCACGGGTAAAATGACCTTCCTCGAGGTCACACTCACGTGGAAAAATCTCGAACTTCTCGGTACACCCAGTTCCGAGAAAAGTTCCATAAACAAGGCCCCTCAGATGGTACTTTCATATCGCTATGAGCACTTAAAAAGTCATAAAAGACAGCCTGTCCCAAGTCCCAAAATCCGAAAGTCGGGTTCCCTCCGAACAAGATGGCGTCCCTCGTCTTTCCACGCGAGTCGAGAAATGTCCAAAAGTTTCTGTCTAAAACTTTCCACCTATCCACTTCCCGATACCAAAGTGGATATCTGTCGAGGGTCCCGAGACATGTTCTCAATTTCAATTCATTTGGTCGATTGATCCAGCACCAGAAATCCATTCTTTTCGAGAAATTTCTTGATCTCGGCATGATCTCGACTCGAATCGAAGAAGATTTCAAGTCCAGTCAAGACTTTATATTTCAAGATCAAGATGTCTTATCTCAATGAAACCTTCTTAAGGTGATATGAAAGGGTCATTCTATATACATAAAACATCCAAATATTTATAAAACATGTTCTCCAAACTGGATGCACGAATTATTTGAAACATCAGCACTTGATTATGGAGGCTCTAAGGAAGAAAGCGATGCTCGTGAAATTTCATGAGATTTGCGCGTGAGATTTCATGAGATCATTGAAATTTCATTGAGATTTCATTTTTCGGGGGAAAAAAAAATGTCCTTTTTTGGTTCTTGTCCGAATTAGATACAAATTTTTCTTCAAAAAATGAAATTTAACGAACATCGCTTAGGGCCTCCATAATCACGTGATGAAGTATCAAATGATTCGCTGCACTTCATTAAAAGAAAAGTTTTATTCATATTTTAACGTTTCATATGCATAGAACAACACAATCACATCACGTTAAAACCCCATAAATTTATAAAAATTCTTTTTTTATTTATAGATATTTTGACGTTTTATATGCACAGGATGACACATTCACATCACGTTAAAACCCCATAAAAGGCAGCCTGTCCCAAGTCCCAAAATCCGAAAGTCGAGTTCCCTCCGAACGCGATGGCGTTCCTCGTCTTTCCACGCGACTCGAGAAATGTCGAAAAGTTTCCTTCCAGAACTTTCCGCCTGTCCACTTCCCGATACCAAAGTGGATATCTGTCGAGGGTCTCGAGACATGCTCTCAATTTCGACTGGATGGGTCGATTGACCGAGCACATCTCCCGTCCCTCTTATCGACGTCCATACACCTAGTCTCGCCCGAGGGTAGGGAGCGATCATCCGAGATCGGATTCCGGAAGCGGTCGAAAGAGGCCCCCTCTTGAAGACTGTTATTACCGCGTCTTACGGACAACTCCGATTCTCGGAAGCTTCTGCGTAATGCAGGACCGACTAACGCGAGGTGCGCGCGTCGCGCAATTGCGTCCTCGACGGAGTGTGATTCATCCGGCATTTCCATTTCCCCCTGCCGGGCAAGATTCTTAACGGCGGGTCATGCGGAGCTCTAGGTAGCAGTTTTCTCTCATTAACCGCCATATGGCCGGCAGGGTTGGTATTGATCGTTTCACCGGCTTCCGTGGCGACTCGAAAGATAATATGCCATTTAACTGTCTGAATCCCACGAGTCATTGAAAAACCATCCTCGAGAAGTACCGTCACGTCGACCTAGACACCCTCTAGAAGGAACCACCTCGTTCTTCCCGACTCCACGAGAACAAATTAAAAAATAAACCCAATCAAGTTACACCAGAGCCCAAAAACGCAAAACGTTATCGGAGCCAATCGCGCGTTTGATAACGCACTACGCAGTGCCGCCACAATTAAGACGTCTTAAAAATCGGGCTTCTTAGGAATTCTTTACATAACGTTTGTAAACATTTTCACGTACGCGGTAGCTAACCCTTTCGATCCTTGGGCCAGAAATTTCGACATGAGGACACTTTATATATATAAAAAATATATATATATCGTCTATCGGACGTCTACAGTAATCCGTTAAAACATTGGTCCAACTTCTTCACTTTCTCACCGCGACGAGCATTATTTTCATCCGTGAAGTTTGGGGCAGAAATTTCTTTTCGCTCCTAATATATATTGGGTTGGCAGCTGATTGTGGATTTTTAAATACCATCTATTGACAAAATCCGCAATCATTTAGTTACTAACTCGATAGGACCCTTTCGCAACGCCACAACTAACGCGCTATCGAAGTCAGCCCTAAGTGTCGAAGAAACGTCTCGACGGTTTGTCGATAAATGGTATTTAATCCTTTTAGTGCCGGACAACGACATATCGTCGTTTTACAAGTGCCAACGACATATCGTCGTTTTACAAGTGCCAACGACATATCGTCGTTTTACAAGTGCCAACGACATATCGTCGTTTTACAAGTACCAACGACTTCGGCCGGCACTAAAAGGGGTTAAAAATCCTCAATCACTTAGTCACCACCCCGATAGGACCCTTTCGCAACGCCACAACTAACACGCTACCGTCGAAGAAACGTCTCGTTGGTTTCAACGTCCAGAATACGTCTCGCCGAGGCAAACGCCCAGGATACGTCGGGTCCGGTCGAAGGTCGGCTTATCAAGACTCACAGTGGTTGCGCGGTCGCGCTCGGCGCGTCCGGCAGGAAGCTCTGCTGGGCGGCAGGGTGGTGTAGTATCTGGTGTTGGTGGTGGGTCGGCTGGTGCAGAGCGTGATGGTGGTGGTGGTTGTGGTGTAGGTGGTGGAAGTGTCCGGGCTGGGCTGGCGAGCCGGCCGGGGCGGGCCCTGGGGCGTTTACGAGGTTGTAGGGCTGGTAGAGCAGCTGCGGCTGTGCCTGGCCGGCGCCTGCCGAGGGCAGGACCTGGGTCTGGGCCTGGGGGTGCGGGTGCGGGGTTCCCTGGGTGGCCGTTTGCGGGCTCGCCGGAAGGACCGCCATAGCCGCGCCTCCTAACACCGGTGGCATACTTGCCCGATCGAGGCGGCCGTTAACATTATTCGACTACCATCGACCCGAGGCTGGCGCATCTCCCGCCGTCGATGAGCTCTTTCCCCTTTGTCCGCGGCACTACCCTGGAAAAGCCAACTATTACGGCCGCGCGTCGACTTAACCTCCCGTTTAACCAACCGGCATAGAAAAACAACTCACTGTTCACACTGGCACACGAGCGTCGATATATATAAGTATATATATATGTATATCCGGGGCACGATGGGGCGGGCCGCGTGCTTGGGCCCGCGATAGCTCTCACCTAACCTCACTTGTACGGTACCAGCCGCACCCGGGATCGCTCTCCTCGAACCTGCGCGGGGGCCGGTCGCGCCTCGACTGCGCCACTGGGGCTCCGCTCGGAGTGACCCGACCGCGCGCGCCTCGCGGTCCGGCTCGAGGCTCGAACAAAAGCCGCGCGCGCGGCTCTCGAGACGCCGAGACCGTCCGCGCGTAGGAGAGGCCGAACAATGGCGCGCCGCCCCCCGGAGGATCCTCGATATATACCTCGGGAGCGTATCCGCGATCTTTCCGGACGCGAGTTTGCGTGCGCGAGCCTGGATACGTCGCCCCAGCACTCTCGCGGTTGCCGAAGCGGAAGGGGTGGGTAACCGGGCTCGTTGATTCGGCGTAATGGCGTAACCCTCCTAGCGACTCCACTTGTCGTTGAGAATCCCTCGATAAGCGTAACTGCCTCTTCGGCGTGGCTTATCGATGGACCTTGGAAGAGCACCGAGATCGGTGAGCGGGACTGCGCGTCGCCCGGGCACTCCTGGAGACTCCACGAGCCTTGGGCCGAGCTCGCCAGGCTCTGCGGGTTCCACGAGCCTTGGACTGGACCCCGCCAGCCCCGAGATGGCGGCGCGCGCGCTCCTGCGAGGTTGAACGGACCTTGGAGCCGAGAGCCTCGGGGTGGGTCTCCGTCGGCCTCGCTCCGTCTCCGTCCCCCGCGGAAGGTCCGGTTTCGGTCGAGCGAGCCTTATAAGCAGGCCGTGGCGCGAGACGCCGAACGTCGCGACGCACCGCCGAACAAAAGACCTTGGCGCGAGGAGCGCCCCCGTGGACTCGACCAGCTTCTTTCCCCGCCCTCTTCTTCGGGCACCGTGGCCAGGGTAGCTCTTTCCGGGGTGGCGACGAGACTCGCGGCCGTGGCGCCCCGGAAGTCCCGTTAAATGGGTCAGAGTCGCGCGCGAGGGGAAAAGTAGTTTGCGCGGCACGCGAGCAGCACCGCGCGGAACAAGCCACGTCGAAGGCCGGTACCCTACTGCGGCGCCGAGGAGGCCCGCCCCCCACCACTCGGCCCGGCCGACTCCCCTGAGGCGCCCCCACCGCCGCAAGACACTCGCCAGACTTCGCCGACGTCGCTGCCTCCCCTCCCGGCGACCCTGGGGTAGCCGCGTCTCTCTCCCTCTCGCGCGCACCGCGGAAGCGCGCTCTCTCTCGCTCTCGCGCCGCGATGAGCCTAGCGTCTCGTGTATCCGTCTCGACCCCTCGCGGCGAGACTGCGCATTGCCCTCTCTCTTGCTCCGCCGGGATGGAGATGCGGGCTTCTCTCTCGCTCCGCCGGGATGGAGATGCGGGCTTCTCTCTCGCTCCGCCGGGATGGAGATGCGGGCTTCTCTCTCGCTCCGCCGGGATAGAGATGCGGGCTTCTCTCTCGCGAGATATAATGCGGGCTCCTCGCTCGCCCGGCCTGTACCTTTCTCTCTCTCTCTCTTCCGCTTCTTCGTGTTTACGTCGGTGCCTCTTTCTCCTTTATGGTATGGCTTTCCGTGCGTTGCAATGGCGTAACTGCCGGGGACGCGGAGGTCAATCGCGGATGGGATGCGATTGATTACGTCGGGATTTTGTCACGGCTTCGTGGGATTAGATTCTCCTCCGCTGAATTTCCGGGGAATGTTTTTGCGCTTCTGGAAGAGCGAACCGTTACGTCTGGGGCTAATTGAGTCTGGACGCGTCATTGTGCGGTGCGATAAGACCTGTTTATTTTGAAATTCGATTCTCCCCTCGGTCTCGATGCTCGAGTTGCGAGAAGATGCGTGCAGCCTTTTAATTATGCGCCAATCCGAAGCGTCGTTAAAGTAAAGGGAATCGTCGTTAATCGTTTGATATTAATTTTTGGAGAAAAATCGGGCATGCTTTTCGAGCCTATTCGAAAATAGATCTTTGGAACGGCGTAGGAAAGGCTCGTTTTTACGGCGCGTGTCAAAACTGCACGTCGAAATTAGCGTTGTGCGGTTTCGTTTCGCCAACAAGGAGACCCGGCGGTTTCGTATCGTAACGCCGAGTTACGAGGTTTCGATCGCGAGCAAACGAGTCGTTCAGTTTTTTCAATAGAAACGGTCGGTTGCGAAACTCCCTTGCGTCGGTATAAGAACTCCAATATCTCGTACGATTCATCGATCCGTCGTCGATTGCATACCTCTCCCCATTTAACGATCACAAATTTCCAAAACCCGCGATTACGGCCGGCAACGGTCCGCCAACAACCCGGTCGTACTTTCAAGCTCCCCCGATCGGAAGACGAAGTCATCATCCGGAGAAACTAAAACGCAACTAACAGTACCGCATCGAAAAAAAAACAACGAGCTTATTGAAACTTAATACCCGCAGGAGGAGGAGAGGATCTCCGCTAGCCTCGTTACGCCCGTAGGGCGTAGGGCGTCTCACTCGCTCGCGCGCTCCATGGATCGGCTTGTCTCTCTCGATCGCCCACTCCGCGGATAGCCTCATCTCTCTCTCTCGCGCGCTCCGCGGATCGCCTCGTCTCTCTCCCTCGCCCGCCACTAGCCGCGTCTCCATCCCGCATCTCTCTACCTGCCTCGCCTCCCTCGCCCTCTCCCTCGCTCCCGCGCCCACCCCTATCTCCCGTCTCTCTCCCGCTGACTCCGAACTTGCGACCCGGCGACCGTGTACCCCGCCCCTCGCCGGCCGGTGCCGACAGCTCCCCTCCCGGCGGCCTACCCGAAGGCGGCCGAGGGTGACCGAAGGCGACCGAGCGACCGGCCAACTCAAGCACGACGCCGCAAAAAGCGCTCCCCCTTCCCCTTCGCCGCCACTCGACCCGCCGCGCCGAGCCGTGCGTGTTCACGCAGCGGAGTTGGACTGCGTGCGGGTCTTCCCCGCGCATGCGCCTCGCGCCGCCCGACCAACGGTGCACGGCGTGTCCTTGCGGAGACGCTCCCGAGGCATCTGCCTCGCTCGAATATTCCGCCGACGGTGGGACGCGGAGGGAAAAAGTGCGTGTGGGGCAAAAACACGGATCCGGCAAGCGGAGAGGAGAAACGGCGGTTACGTAAAGTTAAACGAGACAGACTCTCCGGGCTTTTCGCGAACCCGCGGACGCGAGGTTGCCGCGCGACGGCAACGCTGCGCCACCCGGGAGGCCGGCGGATATCTGTGGGCGCCGCCATCTTGGATTCGATCGGTTTAGGGGATTCATCGATTCGACGCTTTCTACGGCTCGCCGAGGCAAGGCCATAGCGCCGCCATCTTGGATTCGCGGATTTCAGAGAATCGCTCGATTGACCTGCCATCTGGGTTGCGAAAACTTATTTAAATGCACGTCCCGGAATGGCGAATCGGATTTAAATCATCAAGTTTTATTGGAGGTCGATTTGAAAATACTAAGGCCACGAGCGTGAAATAAATATCGGCCACTTGGTCTACGGGCTATTAATTACAATCCTGGATCGACGTCTTTGGGCAGGTGCTTGAAAGTTATTATACTGATAGGTTTATGAAAGGATATAGCAATGATGGTCAATTGATGTACGATACTCAAGCAGGAGTGCATAAAGGATTATCGAGCTTGAGGGAAGGCCCGTCGACCATCTTGAATTAATCGCGCGTCATTAAGGTTAAGTGAAACCATCTTGAAATCAGTCGATAAGATTGTTTTGTAAAGGCATCGACCGAATTATTTGAAACTTTGACACATCACTCGCGGGCACCTAAGAACTGGCCTGATACTCTCGAAGTCTGGATTTTCGAAGAAAATGTGTTGAATTAGTCTAGATCAAAACGAAAGTGGTGTCAAGCTCTTATATAGAATTATTGAAGGCTCCGATATGAGAATCGAAATTGTCAGGACAATTGTACATCTTAGAACACTCTAGCAATTGAGAAACTCGCATTTAAACAGGATACAGGTAAAATCGCGAACCATGAATTTCTGGAGTTTAACCTCGATTTCTTTATAATTATTGTGCGAAAGCGACATATCAAGTATGCCATTTGGTCCAATACCCAATATAATTCGACGCAGCTGTCGATATAAACTCCAACGTCGATAACAAGTGTATTTATAAGAACCTTTTTCCTCGTTTCACTTAACCTTAAATTGCCGAGTAAACAGGCTAATTTCATTTTGTCAGATTTACACTCCCTCACACCCAACGATACCCATTGTACAATATTCCCGAACACGTGTTCAACGTCCCCGCCCACATAACCTATATCCACTGCGTATATTTGTATTAGTAAACGTCCACTTTTACCGATACGAGCTCTTCTATGCCAATACTGACTCGAGCTGCACGCTCAGAAATACATTCAGGCCTGGTATGTATATAAAGAACACGTATGGCCTGCAATAGAAACCCGAGACAGGGGTATAGGTTCCCTCGGAAGAAAGCTATCTAGATAAGTCATCTGAGATGCCCCGCCGCGGCGAGTTCGGAGTACCCGGAGGAAGTTCTACCGCTCGATGGGAGTTTATGTAACGCCGACTCTCGGGCTAGCGAGAACGCCCTCTCGCGGCGTAACGACGCTCTTCCTCGTGACTTCCCTGGGCGGCTCGAGAGGCTCGGGTGCGCGCGCAGCCCGCGGCCGCGTATGCGTGACGCGCCGACCCGTTGCGCCCAGCCACCGCGCACACGCGAGCACGCCGCCGAGGCGCACGGTCGCAGGCGCGCGTGCGCCGCGTTCAAGGACAGCGATACTTTCGCGGCTCGCGAGCCGCCGTTCTCACGAAACTCCAGTTGTTAACGAGTCGCGACTTACGCACGCGGAACTTTATTGCGCCTAAGGAAGAGGACGTGATTGAGGTTAGGTCAGGTTGAGTGCACGACTCTCTTGGCGTTGTCGGTTCGGAGGTTTTATACCCAAATTCTGGGTGGATTTTAGGTAACATGAAAGGCTCATTCTATACATATGAAACGTCAACATATTTATATAACTATTCTTCAAATTAGATGCACGGGAATAACTTGAAAATTCAGTACGCGATTGTACGGGCCCTAAAGAAGTACGCGATGTTCATGATGTTTGAACGTTTTTACAATTTATTTATTGGTATTTCGAAAGATTTAGCATATCCAAGTCACGTGGCAAGGTTTGAGACGATTCAGTACATTGAGTTCGGGAAAAAAAAAAGTTTCACGAATTATTGACCTGTCAGATGTTACTTTTATATCCCCTTAACACATTCGCGAACGGCATATTTTTTCCCGTTTCAAATACTGAGTACCGGCGAAAATCATGATTTTCCGATACTGGTTGCCGCAAACTTGTATCCTGTATCGTCATGGACGTGATTCACGTCAGCGGCAATCGGGAATAGAATTTCAAATGACGTGAATTCACGTCAGCGGCAACCAGGAATAGAACTTGAAAAGACGTGAATTCACGTCAGCGGGCGCGAATGTGTTAAGATAATTAGTGGAAAATAGAAAAAAATTGCGGGCACAAGATAGTCGTTTTACACGTATCGACTTACAAATCTGGCTATGAAAACACAGGTTTACAAGACGGTTTTTAATTATTCGACATGTTTCCACCGATGATAACGAGGTCTGTTACATAAAATTATGAAATGCCGTGATATCGAGCGAGAAATAAAAAGGGACATAACTGGTACTTTAAGCTTATGAGAATCCTGTTGGGAGATTTGCATCACCTTTGCCGCAGAGGGGATTCATGTATATACTCGTTTCCAGTACTTAAGTTGTTTTCCCATTAGAGGTAATTACCGGCTACTTGTCACACTACGACACTCACGTGTGCGTGTTTCAGTACGTCTCCGGGCATTCTTCGAAGCCTCAGGAATACGGAAGCATGAATTCTCCGTCAGATTTATCGCGAAATCTAAATCATTAAGTATGAGTCATTAATCATCGTCTAGATGTCCGCCTATCGATTACGACTATGTGGAGCTGTCCACGTTTATCCGAGCCGATGTCTGTTTTTTGTCTCTTGACTTCTTTGAAACTCCAATAAAAAAAAAAAAAGAAACTAGCTCGAGGTTATT